TCAAATATATAAAAAATTATATATAAAGTCTCTTTTTTTGCTGCGCTACTTATTATTAATAATTATGAAACATAATGTAATAATAATAATAATAATAATAATAATAATAATTAATAATAATAATATATTCACTAATAATGTATCCAGGTGATAAAACTAAAATGCTCGTTATTTAACATATTTATCTAAATATATATATATACCTTTGAGTGTAAGGCAGAATAAGTGATATCTTTAAGTTGAGGAAAGGAAACACGGCGAAGAATTTTTTCTTCTAAAAAGGAGATTTTAAAGACTACTTGTAAACCCTCGGAAGAAGACATGTTGATTTTATTTATTTGTATAAAACAATGTTTTTAATTATTTACAAAAAAAAAACAAAAAATGAAAAAATGTTATTTAAATATATTTCTTTCTCCTTTCTCCAAGAAAAAAAAATACAATTGAGACAAGAAAGGCTTTTTTATATTTATTTTAATTTTACAGTATATTAAATTTGATATGAGAAATAGAATGGGAAAAAAAAGGAAATGTGGAAAGGTTATTGGGAAAATAAGCAGACCATTCATTATTATTATATACAAAATGCAAAAGTCATGAGACAAATTGATAAAACGTACTGCGCATCGACTTGCGTAATTATTAATAGATACTGTGCCTACCTCGGCTACGTTAGCTCACCTGTTTAGGAAAGAACGGCAGGATAACGTAACCGATAGGTAACAAGTCCGTGGAGAATAATGATTTTTATTAATATTATTTGATTTCCAAATTTGGAATGAATTTCTTGAAAATTTACAAATAAAGAAAAACGCCTTTGCATAACTGTTACACAATTGACCTCGGTTTAGCGGATACCAATATTAATTATAATTATAATCAAAAATCTCGATCTAATGGATAAAGTTCAAGAACTAGAACGGTCCATAATATTAACAAAAACCTTCTCGATATAACGGATTTCTCGAAAATTTCCCTAATACTAATATATACTAATTGCCCAAACTATCCGTTAAACCCGAGATTCACTGTTACTGTGCGTTGAAATCCAATTGGTTATTTTCTGCTAAATTCGTCTAGTTATATTCGTTACACGATGGACACTGATACAAATTCTGAAAATTGTTTTTATTTTTAACATTGATGCACTTTTATATCGTAGTGTATGAAATTCGATTCGCCATACATTAAATTTGGTAATACTTTAGTAAAAATAGTATTGTTACCTTATAAATAAACAAGGAATGCTCTTGGAATTTTAATTAAAATACTCTAGGGTGTGGGGCGTTCTAGGATTTTTTGTTAGTTGTCATGATTTCAGTAAAAAAAAAAATAAGCAGTTACTTTACACTCTAGATATAATGCCTACCTTCTGCTTGAACAAAAATGAGAACATGGTCGCATGAGCCTAGTTACCTATATTACTTTGCGATAACTCTTCACTGGTGCAGAAACAAATCCTTTGGATACTGATAAGCAACTCGCATTTCCAGAAGAAATTAATGTTCTTTTATTCCCTTTCGTTACGCGTTTACAAATATTATCCATTGTCATAAACATTATTGTTATTACTATCATTGCTATACTATCAATCCATAGGCGATTACTATTATGCATTTCTTCCAGGATCAAAATTTCATACTAGACCATCTACTATTAATATTCAACTATTCTCCTCTACATTTTTCCTTTCAAAAGGTACCACTCCATCTGTTTTTATATAATATTTAAATTTACAATGTGACTTAATGAACATCTGCAAATTGAATTTTTCATTCCACCACCAATCTTTATTATCCTAATTACTTATGACTTTGGCCCCAGAGAGCTTCAAAAGATTTAACAGCTCACTTGTGTCAGCACGAATAAATCGGCTTTTATATACATGTTCAGGTAGCATAGTAAAAAGTTAGTAATCTGGCACCATTATTTTTTTCAAAGCATCTTAGTATATGATACAAAAAAGGAATCTATTTTCACCGCTCTTTTCCAAGCTCTTTTTCTAGAAACACATCCAATTTTTCTTGGGGCTTTTTGATGCAATTGGCGTAACTTCAACTCTGTTGCAAAGGAGATAGGAATAATATGATCTGGAATGGTAGTTGATTACAAGTCTGGATAGATGTTTTACCAACTTTCCAATAGAAATCTTATCGATTTTAAATTCAAACCATTGGCTAAGCCTTTTCTCAAATTATATATGGTTTTGACAGTTTTCTAAAAGCATGGCAGCCAAATTATTCATAATACAGGTGGAATTATAACCTGACTTCCATTGTATATCTGTTGGACGAAATGGTAACTATCTTCCCACACCGTAAATAACAAAATTATTTTTTATCAGGATCATTAGGGAAGATTCAACTTTTAAAATCCCATGTATTTTCTGCATAATATTCGTGCATATATAAATTCGTAAATTATTGGCAAAAAATTTGTTATACTGTATCTACAGTATGTATAAAATACGTGTAATTGGTTTTTACACATATCAACCGTATATCATAAGTACCTTCAGAAAAGATATATGTGCATTTCATATTCATATTTATTTACTGCTTATTTGTTTAGTGTGATAATTAAAATGTTTATTAATTACCGTTAATAGCATATTAGAATTCATTATGGAAACAAGTCATAAATTTTTTATTATTATGAATAATATAACTAAATTTATATAGGAATTTGTTCTTGGGTCATACAGTTAATAATGCAGTTCATTCTCTATAACGAACCATTTGGATTAAGAAAAAATGTCCGTTATATATGGGATATACAAATTGTATTATTAATTCTCAGTCTGTTATAGAGAATGTGAACTGTACAATTAAGGTAATAGTATAAAAGAGAAATTTTGAAGAGTTGGAATTAAATTTTACTTGCTATTGAAATTTCGAGCAATAGGGATTGGCATTTTGAAATTTTGTTTTTTTTTAAATAGAATTTTTGATAACTCACAAACTAGGTAGAATCAGATATAATGACGAAGAAGATGACCTTATTACGATCGATAATGAACTTGACCTACAGGAATGTTTTAGTTATTTATTGAAAATCAATAATAAAGATAGCGATAAATTGATCGTCAGGTTAACTTTATCACAAGAAAATCCACAAAAGACCAGAAAAAATGTAGAATACGTGGTAAACGATAATGGTATAAAATATATTATTTTTATAATTTATAAATAAGTATATAAATATATCAACTAATTGTTTTAATCAATGAACAATATTTTTAGATGCTAATAATTTAAATACTTCCAATTCAAATGCTTCTGATTCGAATGCTTCCGATTCGAATTCTTCCGATTCGAATGCTTCCAATAGTGTGGATACAACAGAGAATCAAGGTGAAATTGATGGATTTGGCCTAGAAAAGGTTATTAACGAGGGATTCGCCAACTTTCAAAATATAATTCAAACTATTGTTACTGACGTGAGCAACACTTTAGAAAATGATTTAAATAATCTTCATGCTACCTTACAACAGCCTTTTCAACAAGCTATCAATACTGTCAGTAATGTTGTTAAAAGCGAAAATAATAGTGATAATAATAAACATAATGAAAAACAAGGAGTTAATAATCGCTCATTACCACCATTGCCACCACAACCACCACCGCCATCATCATTACCACCACCGCCACCACCACCATCATCATCATCATCATCATCATCATCATCATCATCATCATCACCACCATCATCATCTAATAATAACATCACAGATTCTAATGAAACTGAACAAATCATTAAACAAGAACAAATCATTTCACAAGGTATTTTGGAAAGTGGAAATAATATTGATTCGATATATTTGATTTATCGTAAACTAATATTTACATGTATATAATACTTGTGATCATTATTTAATAGGTCCTGTGATTCACAATGGTGTCATTTGTGATTGTTGTGAAAAAATTATTCGTGGAATGCGCTGGAAATGTCTCACTTGTAGTAATTATGATTTATGTCAAGATTGTAAATCGAAACAACCTACAATTCACAACCATGCAAATAGTCATGAATTCAAACCTATTCCATATCCTCAAAATTATTGCTCTAGTAATTCTAAAAGTATGTTTTAATTAAATTTTATAATAATGATGATTATTCATTTGTTTTAATTGTAAATTAATACCATCATATAACCATAATTTATAGGAATCACAGCTAGTTTACATTCAGCAGTTTGTGATTTCTGTGAATCACAAATTTATGGAACTAGACATAAATGTATCAATTGTCCAGATTTCGACTTGTGTAATGGTTGTATTTGTAAGTAAAATTTTATATTAAAATTAAATTGTATATGTACTTTGCATTTATTTATTCTTTCTTTCCTTTTTTTTCCAGCACTTGCACCAACTCAACATCCTAATCATACATTTATGCCAATTTATCGTCCTGGTGAGCCTGAAATTAAAATATTTGATGCAGTGTCTCATCCTGGAATCAGATGTGATGGTTGTGAAAAATTGATAATTGGAGTAAGATTTAAGGTATATTACGGTCTTTTCCCCCCCCCGAAAAAAAAACATTATCATCATAATATTACGATTATGTGAATTAAATGAGAACTGATTATTAATCGATATCAATATTTTAGTGCGCAAATTGTCCCAATTTTGATTTTTGCGGAAACTGTGAAGCATCACCACTTAACACACATGACATTACACACATCTTCTTGAAAGTCAAGTTCCCCGTTTCTATCCCAATTCCATCAAGCTATCCACTACTTTCAAATTATTATGTTCGTAGAGAATCAAAGATTAATGCTACAGTCAATGGATTGATAGGAAAACAAGAATATCCTAAAGAAAAGAAATCTCCATCAATCAACAATGATACTGATGCTAGCGAAGATTCCAGCCTTAACCAACCTGCTATTGTACAACCAAGTATTAAAGTGTTAGTATATGTATTAAGTGAATATTATATAATAATGATGATAAAACTTGAATTAATATATATATATTTTTTTAATTTGAATTTCTCGCAAAGTGAAAGTCATGCACCCATAGATTTATATAAACATTCATTATTACCATCCATTCCGTCCACGCCATTAACCCAAACTCTCCAACATGAAATACTCAATCCGTATACCCTCGGTTCAAATCAGATCGATAATTCAAATTCGATTTTTTCGGGACATGTAGAAGCCCCCTTAAAAAGGCATGAAAATTCGTTACTCAAAACTAAATTAGAGTCTCGGTTTGTTGAAGACGTTAACTTTCCTGACGGTACTACACTTGTTCCACGTGCCCAATTTATTAAAAAATGGAGAATGGAGAATGTTGGCAATGTTGCCGTAAGTAAAATCTTTTTTTTTTAAATAAATGAATAAATAAAATCAGATTTTGTTTGACGAAATCATCCATAATATTAAATTAGTGGCCAGAATCAACAGTTTTGACTTTCGTCGGTGGTGCTGAAATGTTTGGTGACAATTATTCCTCTAAAAATAATAATGGATTTTATGTTGGTCTTGTTAATGTTGGAGAAATTAAAGAAGTTTTTGCAGAACTTCAAGCACCATCTGAATCTGGAGAATACATATCGTAAGTATGAATGATAAATAATAATAAACAATTATTATTGTGCCAAACTCACATTTATATACATATGCATATTATAGATATTGGAGATTGGTTGATGGTGAGGGAAATAAATTCGGTCATCGATTATGGTGTTCAATTAACGTTGAAGATGATGATTCAAACATGACTGCTTCATCAATGATTTTCCCCGTAATGAAAAATGAACAAGTACCTGATGTTAAACAAGAAGATAATATCGTTAATTCAATAGTTGGAAAATTTTTTGATAAGGAAAAATTAGAAAAATCTCTTGAAGCTATTTCATCTCAGTCAGATAGCAATAATAACAATAAAGAAAATGAGAATAATAACGAAACTGAGGCTACTTCTGAATTTTATTATGATGACTCTGATATTGAATCTGATATTTCGTCTCTTTCAAGTCTTGAAAATTCGCAAGATTATTATTTTGTAGAAAAAGACGAACATTTGTCAGAAGAAAATGATCAAAAAGAAGCTGCCAAAGAAAAGATTGTTAAAGAAGTCGTTTTTGAAGCCGATAACCTCGTGAGTGATGATGACGACATTGAAAGTGACGATGATAAAGAAGATTCAAAAGACGAAACAGAAAATCAATCCGAGGTGAGACCTTTAGTGGAACCTATAAATAATTGTTTCATTTCTAGTAATGAAGAAACTACTGTAATTACACCAACCATTATTAATATTAATGATGATGTTAACTCAGAAATCAGTCGACCAATAAGCTTCTTCGCCGAAAAAGAATTCTTGAAAGAAATGGTAAAAAAAATAATAATTGTTGTTATTAGACTAAACTAAAAAATATTTATTGACGTTATTTATTATGTAGGGAATTTTAAATGATGAAAATGTTGAATTCGTAGATGATCTTTTGACCAAAAACAATGGTGATGTTAACACAGTTGCTAACATTCTTTTTGGATGATTTTCTTTGCTTTTTTTTCTAAAATTCATTTTTTTATTCTTTTAAATATATTTATTATAAAATAAATTATTGCCTTATTTATATTCTGATTAATATCATTTATATGTTATCTATATTTTGAACTTTTTGATTTTCTTACAAGCAAATAAAACATTCGATTAAAAATTATAAAAACTGTAAATTTTGAAAGTCTTTATTTTTATATTGAAAATTTGCAATACATAATTTACTAAAATAGAACCAATCTTCAAAATACCAGTTGCTCGTCCTAATAATAATATAAATCGTTAGTTGATTCTAAGCAAACAAAAAACACAATGATAATAGATATATTTACATATTCTTTAACTTTTTCAAGACATTTTTTAAAATGTTTTTCATATTCAGCATCTTTTTTTTTGTCAGGCAAAATCATTACCACGCTAGTTGGACGTTTTGTAGTACATGAGAATCCAAGATCTGATCTTGATGGAATAAAAATATACGGCACTTCTTTTTCTTCACAAAAAACTGGTATATGTGAAATTACATCTATGGGTGATACATTACCTGCCATCACCACAAGACTAAATGATGATGATGATCAAGTGAATATGGAGGTAATATGTATATGTATATGTTTGTATATATATATATTCTATTAATTTTATTTACCCTTTTTGCTCTTTACGTAAAGCTTTTATAACTTCTTTTACACCACGTTTACATTGTCTACTATTTGAAGCTTTTTGTAAAAAAAAAAAACTGCTATTTAAGCAAATAATCAATCAAAAATATTTTTCAATATATAGAAAAATCTTTTTATAGATACCTTTTCTTATAGTTTGCATCAATTGTAAAGTAAATTCTTGAGAAGCTAATGGTATGGCAAATGGGATAAGACCATTTAAATCATAATGGACAATCATTTTTTTTTTTTCATTTTCCTCTTCAACTGTCTTTTCAATTTCCATTTGTTCTTCTTCCTTTGTTTCTTTACTACTACTACTATGTTTCGTTGATTTTTTGTCTTTTTTATCTTTTTTATCCTTTTTGTCTTTTTTATCTTCAACTGCCATTTCTATTTCCAATTGTTCTTCTGGCTTTATTTCTTTATTACTACTAATTGTTGAAGCCTCTTTATCACGTTTAGTCGATTTTTTATCTTTTTTATCTTTTTTATCTTCAATTACCATTTCCAATATTTCTTTACTGGTTGTTGAAGCCTCTTTATCATGTTTGGTTGATTTTTTATCTTTCTTTACTTTTGATTCTTTCTTTCCCTTCGTTTCCTTTAGTTCTTTCTTTTCTTTTTTAATTTTTGATTCTTTTTTTTCTTTAGGCATTTTTATTTTTTAGATGAAATTTCTAAGATTGTTCGGGGCCCCCTCCTCTATCATTATTATGTCAGGACCCCGGATTGTCATAATTGAGGTAGGGTCTCTATTCGTAATACGCACTAAAAGTATTTTTATTCAATTTATCCGCTTTATTCGAATATTATTATTATTACTACTATTACTATTACTATTATTCGTTTTATTTGTTTTATCCGTTTTATAAAATGTAGGTCTTATTTCTTTAACAAGATAATATAAGTTACAATAATAATATTTATAATCTACACTACTACTACTATGTTATGATTTATGAAAAGAAAAGAAAAATGCCAACTACCTACCAGTGTTGGCAAATGACCAGTCATATGACATATGACTTTGATGACTGGTCATAAGTCATTTGGTCATTTTATCCAATTCAATGACCTAGCACAAGGTCATATAAAATTAAGCAACATGATTGGAGCAGTCAAAAATGGAAATATTTTTATTTAAAAATCCTAAACTAATAGAATGTTTTGGAATTCAATAAGCACCAGTAAAAATAACATCACTACCCAGAAAAGTTGGTGACTCCAATTCATCAATAAAAAGGGATTCTAATGACCATTTCATCAAATGGGACTGTCTACAGCAAAAACCACCTCCGAGGTAAATAACTCATTTTGTGTAAATACAAAATCAAAATTTGTTACACAGAAAAAGGAAAATTGACCCCCGAAAATTTGATCTAATTTTAATAACTCATTTATCCAAATTTAGAAATAAATTAATTATCTGAAAAAATTCATTTAAATAAAAACTTTTTGCTTTAAGCTGAATAAATTTCATAAATCAATTAAAGACATGTTTTTAAATTGTATTTTGAGATATAATAATATTGATTTAATAAATATTTTATTTGATTTATGAAATTTATTCAGCTTAAAGCAAAAAGTTTTTATTTAAATGAATTTTTACACAAAATGAGTTATTTACCTCGGAGGTGGTTTTTGCTGTAGACAGTCCCACATGGTTTTGGCTTGATTTTATTTTAATTGGTAGATTTCAATAGCCAATGATTGGATTTTTATCTGTTTTGAAATTGATTCTAAAATGGTTGGAGCAAATGAAAATAATTGTATTCAGGCTGTACCTGACAAACTGGAAAACAAACACCAAAAAATACAATATGGAATCATTTTTATGAGAATTATTATTTCCACTACTATTATAATTACAAATTACTATTACTATTACAAATTTTTATTTTATTTTTATTTTTATTTACGGAGTCAACTATAGGAATTAATGCTGTATAAATTTACAACTGTTCTTTATTTTCTTTATAGGAATAATCAAACAAGGAGGTCAGATATTTCTGATCAATCACAACTTTCGATGACAAATTTGTTTTCAACTTGTCAAAACATCACTTGCTAGTTTGTAAGAAATAACACACGCATCATCAATCCTCATGTTGTTGTAAATCATTTGTTATGACATTTCCCAAAAAGAAGAATACATCAAGCTGTAAACACATACCATCCCTTTGCTTTGTGTCTTCTATAAAAATCTGAGATAAACCTTTAAATAGTCCTCTGAATTCAGTTAATATTACTATTCAAATGTCCTGATATAAAATCTATGGATAGGCATTGTTTCTTATTCAATAAACTATAGAAAACAAGAATGATAATAACTTTATTTAGAAATTTATGCAATATTTACTACCCATTTGCATTAAGGTAATGCCAGATTGAGATAATGATAATGAAGGCAAAGCTCTATAGCTAGAGCCATTTCTTGTAGAAATGAGATATGTGATCATAACTATACATGAAGTCGAAACTATTTCGACCATTTGCAGATCTGGTCAAAATAGGGTCAAAATAAGGTCGAAACTGATTTTTACTATGTAGTTTCCTCAAGTTGAAACATTTCGACTTTGGGGTTTTAATTTCGACTTCATGTATAATCATAACTATCTTTTTCAAATTGTCTTTTTATTGATGAATTATTGCATTTTTAACAATATTGGTCACCAATAACCAGATTGTCCAAAATAAAAACATCCGAGGCATCTACTAAACAAATTTATAGTGAGTTATTTCAGGCGATGATGGGGCTTCAAAACAAGGTTTCGTTGATAATAGAAAATTGTCTTGTGCATCCTCATGAGTTAATTCATATTGTAATAATGCATTTGGTAGTATGTAATATTGTTGTTCCTATTGATGTTGGAAAAAATAATTATGTTTATTGTACCTATTTTTTTTTCATATTGTTGTAAGAACCATTATCATAAATGATTTATTATAAGTATAGCAAAATGCATCTAGGAATTTGATGGTCTTTATCTACCAACCCTCCTGCTGCTGCATCAAGGCAAAATACGTAGATTCTGTGAATACATGAAATATTATGGAATAGGGGTGATAATACATGAGAAATACACTCTACTTTCCATGTGTCTTCGTTAACATCTTATAATTGTTTGTTACTTGCATTTTTATTGAATAGCATGTACCACAACTCTGCCATGCAACTGATGGATTAAATTATTAGTATATAATATATAAAATTATTCCATGACTATACAAACATAAAAAGGCATGTTTTGAATAAAAATTGTACTAAATTCTAGTTGGAGAGCATATCACAATGGGTAGGAAAGCACCCAACTGATCAGCAATTATTTAATTTTTTTTCCAATATGGAGCCACATTTTCTAAATTCACTGTTACCTTTAAGTTTCGAGATAGTCTGTAAAAAATCTGTATTTCTTTTTTTCCCAGTACGTCTCATTTTTCAATAAATAGTAATGACTTCTTTTACTTAATAATTTTAACATTTGTAAAAATATTCTCAAATAATTCTATTTTCACAAATATTTTATAATTGTGAAATCAAACCTTACCTTTTTTTGTTAGTTCATATTAATATGGATCAAAATCAATACCGTAATCCTTCATAAATTTGTATGCTCCTTCGAGACCCTATCTGTTTTTGGTTTTGATGTTTACAAAGTAACTCCTAAAAAGTTAAACTTGGGATCAAAACCAAGAGTGAAGAACCTCGTGCATTCTTGGCAGTATGTACGTTTATTTTGGAATTGAAATACTGTGTGGGTGTTATTTTTTCATTGTTGTTGGCATCTTTTATATCTATTCCATTTAGTTTGGTGGAATAATCACAAAGAACAAATCTTATGCTATTAGACGTTCTGTTAAATTCATCATGCTCAAGATCATTATTAACAAGGCAAAGAAAAACTATTCGAAGTTGCATCAACATTGTTATTGTTTTATTTTCGGCAGTCATCTTCAAAATTATTATTAAGTTCCTTGACTTTGTCATCTTGAAATGTGAAAAGGTGGCGTTTATTAAGTTATTCTATTTTGTAGAAAAATTAAATTTAATCTGTATGTGAAATTTATCATTTATATGTCTTTTTTGTAGGTTTTCAGGTTTTAGAATTTCATCATTTCAAATAATCAAATTTATCGAATTTTTTCTGTTAGTTTTAAGATAATTCAGGCGGATTTACTTTAGCATATTCTTTAATTATCACGAGTTTTATAAGGTCAGAGTCATTTTTTAGATTAGTTTTAAGATAATTCAGGCAGAATTTAGCATATTCTTTAATTATCACGAAGGTTCCATTTGGTAGCTAGAATAGGTTTGTTTTCAGAATTAATCACGCTAAAAGGTAATATCTATTATTTTTAATAATAGTGAATATAAGCTAATAACAAAAAGAAATATAAACAAAATTAAAAGTAAATATTAAACTAAATAATCCGATTTTTCTATTTAGTAAATATTTATCCAAATTAGCTCAAACTATAATTTTTTTGTCGGCTTTTTTTAATCCTTCATCCAAACCCTTGTTTCTTCCGTAATTGAACCATTTTCCTTCATTGTATCTTTTTCTGCCTTTCTATTGTTTAAATTGCAATTATCATTATTTGTGTTAACATCATTATTCCCATCTTCTAAATTACAATCTTCATTTTCTAAGTAATGATTGACTCTGTTTTCAAGAAACTACCTTTATTCAGTACTTTCGTCACATTAATGACTAAAGTCAAAAGTTTCATTAGTACCGGTTAGTGTTGGTTGCCAAAACTATTTTGAGAGACGAAAGTCAAAACTAAATCAAAAGTCAAAACTAGTTTTGACTTTTGTACAGTTGCATAACCCTCTAGTTTTGGAAACCAACACTAGTATTAATATTACGTAAAATAATAGAATACATTAAAAGATTAACAAATACAAACAAGATAATAATGTTTAAAAAATTTATTTTAATTGAAAAACAGCTTCAATCATCAAAATTTAGTGATAATTCCTCTACGTGACAATATTGACTACTCATGTGTGTTTCTAAAGACAATTCGAACGCGTTTTTATTTTTTTCATTTTATGAGTTGTAATAATAAAGAAGAATTATTAATAAGGATTATTTTGATTGTTAATTTGTAGAAAGTAGAAAGAAAATACATGGACAATTTGATTAAGATGAAACTATGAAATTTTTAAAAAACTTCCATGAATAAAAAAAAATTACTATCTTTGATCGATTTACTGTATATTGTGATTAAAATTTAGTAATAATAATGAAAGTAGAAGTAATTTGGATAGGAAAAAAAGTACTAGTTTCGAATTAAGTTAATTAGAAAAGTGAAACTTTAAATTAAAATTTAATAATAATTTTTCTTCAATTATGATAGACTTTTAAGATGAAAAAAGCTTATAGTCACTAGAGTTTCGGCAAATAAATTTTTTATGACGATTATTTAGAAATAAAAGTTAATTATTGAATGAATGATTTTTTTAAACAGTCACAGAATACTTAACGTTTGATATTTTTTTGATATTCATCATTTCAAATATTCCGATAATCAAAGTCATCGCATTTTTTTCTATTAGTTTACTCTAGTATATTCTTTAATTGTCACAATTTTATAAGAGACTTCCATTTAATAACAGCATCCATTTTTTTAGAATAGTTTGGCTTTCAGAATTCATCGCGCTAAAAAGTAAGTATTTAGATATTGTCGTTTTAGCTTTAGATCCTGAGCTGGCAAATAAGATATTATTATAAAAATTATAATATTTTTATTTATGATATTAATAAATGTAAACTAATAACAAAAAGAAAGGTACATGAAATAAAATAAATACAAGTTAAAAGTAAATATTTAAAAAAAAACTAAATAATTCAATTTTTTTATTTATCTCTCAAACTGTAGTAGGGCCTTCTCTAGTTTGTAGTTGTTGGCCACCCACAACTGAATTTCTCTTTGCCTTTTCTTCTGCCTTTTTCTCTGCAGCATTAATCACGATTCCTCCTAGTACAAATGATGTAGCATCCGTGGTCAAATAAACTTTTGTCCATATAGGATCAAGATTTAATAACAGCATTTCAATTACATCACCGGCAAATAAAATTAACAATAGCGACTGATAGAACTGCCCCTTTACAATGTTTTTTACTATTTGTTTTCCACTTGTTTGTTTTCTTCCCGATGTTTCACTATTAACAATAACGTAAATGCATTTTGTAGTGGCACAAAGAGCCATTATTAAAGTCGGTATAACAATGAATAAGTATCTGTTAGATTCATAGTAGCCGCGAGAAGCATATATCCCCAAAAATATAAATTGTGATATATCAAGGAAAAAGACTTGAACAAGGCTTATATAGAACCCCGCTTTAGGATATCTGATCCAAAAGTTATGCACTCTATCACCCAAACGCCCCTTGTCTTCATTGATGATGTAAATTGATAGATGGATTGTAATACTTGTGTATATGATGGCAACAAACCCCACTGATAATATTACGATGACATAGACGACGAATAAATGGTCGTCAGTATCGTGGTATTTTTTAATACAAAACCAGGTAAAAAAGACGGCTTTTAAGAAAATAAAAATAAAAGAGAGAATTGTGTATAACCACATTTCTGTAATACCAATCTCTGATTCTTTGATACTGAAATAAGCGAGAAGCAAAAGAGCTATTGATGATGTGTAATCGAAAACGACATCAGTATTGTCATCTGTCGAGATTGGCGCAGCCACCGCCTTTGTTATCATCATTGAAAAAATTATCAAAAAAAAGATTATAAACCGTTCCTTAGGAAAAAGCGATTGAAAAAACTTCGATTGTGCCATGTTTTTTGGTGGAGTGTGTAATGAGCAAATTTTTAATTTGTATATATGATATAAAAGACGCTCGTGAAAAAAATGAACTATATTTTTTAACAATAATTAAGTTAAGATGTACAATCAAAAGTTTGACCTTTTATTAAATATTTATTGTATATTTAACCTAAGTTAAATCACATATAGATGTTGAATCAGACTATATTTAGTTTTCAACGAAGGTTTTCCTCTCTATAAAAAGTAAAATTACATGCAAACCGTACTGGTTTTCTATGTTAATATGTTCCATATTATTTAAAGCTGCAGTTATTCAGCCCAATTTATATTCAAAAGTAATCAATACATCAAAAAAATTTTAAAGAAATACCACCAGAAAAGAATGTAATCTTAATCCATCTAAATGAATGTGTTGTGTGTTACCATTACAATTTCTTAACTAAATTGTTTATTAGTATTAGAATAAAATAGATTTGATGAATGGATAAATAATGTTTAATAATAAATCATTATACATGAAATTTAAGGAAATTTTAAATAGCAACCAATTTACATCATGCAAAAGTACGTAGCCAAAAACTCGTTTTAGTAAGATCCAATCCAGGTACGATAATATTATGCAGCAGTAAACTATATATCAATATCAAATATGCGCAAAAAAAAAAAAATAATAAAGTAAATGTCCATATATGATAATTATCAATTATGCAGCAATTATGCGATAAAAAAATTAATATTGTTTTACAAAGTTAAAAATAGCTTCAAATTACTTCTCAAATTACATATAAACAAGTATGTAACAGTTAAATAAATATTCAATATATCCTTGTTTTTAATTCCTTTATCGTCTTTGTCAATGAGGAGCTCATTCATAAGATAAACGATATTATTGTATTAGATTAAATTATATAAAAATATCCTTGTTTGTGAGTGAATTTAGAGGCATTAAAACGCATTCTAATTTGAACATAGAGAATATTTCCAGTACAACTAGATGAGTTGGAGGATAATGGCAATAGAAAATATCAAACTTTCTTCTTGCTTTAGAAGAAAAATTAAGTTTTCTGTGTTTTTACTTGGTATTTTTACAAATAATTAATCCATTATTGGAAGTTAGGTGCATTAGCACCGCAATTTATTTTTAAATAGGGAAAACATGGAAAGGGGCAGGGAAATATTTGTTAAGATAATCTGTTTATTTTATTCTTGGGGTGACATCTGTCAATTTTGTCAAGATTATGGAAAAAAGGGAAAATATTACGTTATTGTTTAGTGGCCAAATAATCATATCGACCATTTGGTTTTTTGGGCCCTTTTTCAAACCCTACAGATATGTAAATTCGATAGGTTGATCGTTTATGTTTATTTATTTTAAACAGTTAGTTGCTGCATCCGACTTAACGAGATTACATGTGTGTCTTATTGTGTAACTGGTCAGTAGAATGATAATTGACCCTAAAAAAATATTTATTTGCTCCGCCAAAAAAACTATTTTACTATATATATATTAGTGTTGGTTACCAAAATTAGAGAGTTTCGCAACTGTGCGAAAGTCAAAAGGTTTCACCATAATAATAATAATAAGTCGAAACTAGTTTTGATTTTTGATTATTGACTTTTGATTTGTGTGTCTTATTGTGTAACTGGTCAGTAGAATGATAATTGACCCTAAAAAAATATTTATTTGCTCCGCCAAAAAAACTATTTTACTATATATATATTAGTGTTGGTTACCAAAATTAGAGAGTTTCGCAACTGTGCGAAAGTCAAAAGGTTTCACCATAATAATAATAATAAGTCGAAACTAGTTTTGATTTTTGATTATTGACTTTTGATTTCAGTTTTGACATATAACTTTTAATTTCAGTTTTGACTTTCGTCTCTTCAAAATAGTTTTGGCGACCAACACTAATATATATTCAATAGCCAGTAAAATCAATGGCATTACCTCAAAACCAATTGATTTTTGCTAGTATAAGGTATTCATAACGTTATAATCATAACATACTTAACTTTGGGGTTCAGACAAAAATCAGCGCATATGTAATTAATTGTTGAACTTGAAAATTTTATCTACTCCACCTTCAATAAAATAAAATTTATTAAAGTTCGTGTTACCACCCCGATTTTTTTGTGAGTTGCGTCCATGGTAAAAATGTGTCCTTAACTTTCCATTTTATGTTTTACTATCAGTTTTCGTCCCTTCCAATTCAAATTCCGAGTATCACTATCACTTCAATTCTATACAATTCACTATACACTACCACTTCCTTGCTCAATTAATCTACAGCAGTACGTCGCTATCCTCATTATGAAATTTATAGTAGTTCATATTTATGTACATCGCCATCCTCACTGATGAATTTTAATGGCTAGAAAAAATAATTATTTTATTCTTTTTTGTTTAATAGTATTGATAGTTTTATTATACATCATATATGTTTTTATTGTATGTTATTGTATCAGCGAAAAAGAAGATTATTGGTTATACATTACACGGTTGTAATGTGGATCCATCATAATAAGAAAAGGAAATCAATATGAGGAAATTTTGAGCAGTATTTGAATAGTTTCGATGTTACTACTCAATGTTTAGCATTAAAGAAAGACTCTTGCTACAAGTCATAATGGCTCATTTGAACTCAAAGTTCTATCAAGAGCGGATTTCTCTTTGAATTCTTGCTCTAATTACTAGTTAAAGGAGTCTTGTCATCTTTCTCTTCTACCAACCAATTTCCTGTCAAGTATTAAAAGTTGTAACATACATGTATATAATAACATTAAAGTGATTGATAAATAATAAAGTCTGATGATAAGAACAAATGATGAAGATGCTTTTGCAAAAATTGCCATTTAACACGTGATAAATTTGTAGCCAACAATTTTGATGTATAACACTTGTATTTCAATTAAATATTACAAATAAATTTTTTTCTTTAGACTGTAAAGGCTTTCTTTCTCTCTTTAATTGATTCATCATTTTTAATTTTTTGCTATATTGAAAATTATAACTTGGTATTTTTTTCAATTTATATAATCTTTCATTTATTTCGAAAAATATTACTATATTATCAATAATATGTATATTTATACAATCATTTATTTATTAATTTTATTTAACCGTTGGTAAACTCATTCAGAAAAGTTTTTACTTGCAAGTGCTTTTGGAATGAATTTTTGAACTAAGCAAATACTTGCTGAAATGTTTTCAAATAATTTACATTAACATATGTAATCTTCGCCTACAGTTCACCCGAACAAAGCAGAAATATTACATATAGGGACGGAAGGTTTGTTATAGAAAGTGTAAACTATGCTTGGATGATGAGAAAATTCATTGAAACTTTCTATCTTTTATCTACTTGTAATTGCTTTAGACAATGACATTGATAAAGATTTGGTTATGTTGGTGAGCTGGGTACCTTTTTTTGGGGAGAAAATTTCGGGACTAACTTCAAAAAATTTGTATTCCTTATTTATATGTTGAACATACACATCAACATTTTCTAAATGTATATACTTTAAACCTCTATCTACTTGAGGGTGGAGACCTCCCTATAAATGATTTTCATTATAGAAAATGTCCACAAAATTTGATGATCTGCACTACATTTCAATACATATTTATATATATAGTAAATAGCAAAATTATTAATAAAAATATTTATTTTTGTCAAGAACAAAATAACGTTTCCCAATTTTCTTGCATTATCACTGCAGTAGCACCTTCAATTGTACTAGGAGGAATCGTGATTAATGCTGCAGAGAAAAAGGCAGAAGAAAAGGCAAAGAGAAATTCAGTTGTGGGTGGCCAACAACTACAAACTAGAGAAGGCCCTACTACAGTTTGAGAGATAAATAAAAAAATTGAATTATTTAGTTTTTTTTTAAATATTTACTTTTAACTTGTATTTATTTTATTTCATGTACCTTTCTTTTTGTTATTAGTTTACATTTATTAATATCATAAATAAAAATATTATAATTTTTATAATAATATCTTATTTGCCAGCTCAGGATCTAAAGCTAAAACGACAATATCTAAATACTTACTTTTTAGCGCGATGAATTCTGAAAGCCAAACTATTCTAAAAAAATGGATGCTGTTATTAAATGGAAGTCTCTTATAAAATTGTGACAATTAAAGAATATACTAGAGTAAACTAATAGAAAAAAATGCGATGACTTTGATTATCGGAATATTTGAAATGATGAATATCAAAAAAATATCAAACGTTAAGTATTCTGTGACTGTTTAAAAAAATCATTCATTCAATAATTAACTTTTATTTCTAAATAATCGTCATAAAAAATTTATTTGCCGAAACTCTAGTGACTATAAGCTTTTTTCATCTTAAAAGTCTATCATAATTGAAGAAAAATTATTATTAAATTTTAATTTAAAGTTTCACTTTTCTAATTAACTTAATTCGAAACTAGTACTTTTTTTCCTATCCAAATTACTTCTACTTTCATTATTATTACTAAATTTTAATCACAATATACAGTAAATCGATCAAAGATAGTAATTTTTTTTTATTCATGGAAGTTTTTTAAAAATTTCATAGTTTCATCTTAATCAAATTGTCCATGTATTTTCTTTCTACTTTCTACAAATTAACAATCAAAATAATCCTTATTAATAATTCTTCTTTATTATTACAACTCATAAAATGAAAAAAATAAAAACGCGTTCGAATTGTCTTTAGAAACACACATGAGTAGTCAATATTGTCACGTAGAGGAATTATCACTAAATTTTGATGATTGAAGCTGTTTTTCAATTAAAATAAATTTTTTAAACATTATTATCTTGTTTGTATTTGTTAATCTTTTAATGTATTCTATTATTTTACGTAATATTAATACTAGTGTTGGTTTCCAAAACTAGAGGGTTATGCAACTGTACAAAAGTCAAAACTAGTTTTGACTTTTGATTTAGTTTTGACTTTCGTCTCTCAAAATAGTTTTGGCAACCAACACTAACCGGTACTAATGAAACTTTTGACTTTAGTCATTAATGTGACGAAAGTACTGAATAAAGGTAGTTTCTTGAAAACAGAGTCAATCATTACTTAGAAAATGAAGATTGTAATTTAGAAGATGGGAATAATGATGTTAACACAAATAATGATAATTGCAATTTAAACAATAGAAAGGCAGAAAAAGATACAATGAAGGAAAATGGTTCAATTACGGAAGAAACAAGGGTTTGGATGAAGGATTAAAAAAAGCCGACAAAAAAATTATAGTTTGAGCTAATTTGGATAAATATTTACTAAATAGAAAAATCGGATTATTTAGTTTAATATTTACTTTTAATTTTGTTTATATTTCTTTTTGTTATTAGCTTATATTCACTATTATTAAAAATAATAGATATTACCTTTTAGCGTGATTAATTCTGAAAACAAACCTATTCTAGCTACCAAATGGAACCTTCGTGATAATTAAAGAATATGCTAAATTCTGCCTGAATTATCTTAAAACTAATCTAAAAAATGACTCTGACCTTATAAAACTCGTGATAATTAAAGAATATGCTAAAGTAAATCCGCCTGAATTATCTTAAAACTAACAGAAAAAATTCGATAAATTTGATTATTTGAAATGATGAAATTCTAAAACCTGAAAACCTACAAAAAAGACATATAAATGATAAATTTCACATACAGATTAAATTTAATTTTTCTACAAAATAGAATAACTTAATAAACGCCACCTTTTCACATTTCAAGATGACAAAGTCAAGGAACTTAATAATAATTTTGAAGATGACTGCCGAAAATAAAACAATAACAATGTTGATGCAACTTCGAATAGTTTTTCTTTGCCTTGTTAATAATGATCTTGAGCATGATGAATTTAACAGAACGTCTAATAGCATAAGATTTGTTCTTTGTGATTATTCCACCAAACTAAATGGAATAGATATAAAAGATGCCAACAACAATGAAAAAATAACACCCACACAGTATTTCAATTCCAAAATAAACGTACATACTGCCAAGAATGCACGAGGTTCTTCACTCTTGGTTTTGATCCCAAGTTTAACTTTTTAGGAGTTACTTTGTAAACATCAAAACCAAAAACAGATAGGGTCTCGAAGGAGCATACAAATTTATGAAGGATTACGGTATTGATTTTGATCCATATTAATATGAACTAACAAAAAAAGGTAAGGTTTGATTTCACAATTATAAAATATTTGTGAAAATAGAATTATTTGAGAATATTTTTACAAATGTTAAAATTATTAAGTAAAAGAAGTCATTACTATTTATTGAAAAATGAGACGTACTGGGAAAAAAAGAAATACAGATTTTTTACAGACTATCTCGAAACTTAAAGGTAACAGTGAATTTAGAAAATGTGGCTCCATATTGGAAAAAAAATTAAATAATTGCTGATCAGTTGGGTGCTTTCCTACCCATTGTGATATGCTCTCCAACTAGAATTTAGTACAATTTTTATTCAAAACATGCCTTTTTATGTTTGTATAGTCATGGAATAATTTTATATATTATATACTAATAATTTAATCCATCAGTTGCATGGCAGAGTTGTGGTACATGCTATTCAATAAAAATGCAAGTAACAAACAATTATAAGATGTTAACGAAGACACATGGAAAGTAGAGTGTATTTCTCATGTATTATCACCCCTATTCCATAATATTTCATGTATTCACAGAATCTACGTATTTTGCCTTGATGCAGCAGCAGGAGGGTTGGTAGATAAAGACCATCAAATTCCTAGATGCATTTTGCTATACTTATAATAAATCATTTATGATAATGGTTCTTACAACAATATGAAAAAAAAATAGGTACAATAAACATAATTATTTTTTCCAACATCAATAGGAACAACAATATTACATACTACCAAATGCATTATTACAATATGAATTAACTCATGAGGATGCACAAGACAATTTTCTATTATCAACGAAACCTTGTTTTGAAGCCCCATCATCGCCTGAAATAACTCACTATAAATTTGTTTAGTAGATGCCTCGGATGTTTTTATTTTGGACAATCTGGTTATTGGTGACCAATATTGTTAAAAATGCAATAATTCATCAATAAAAAGACAATTTGAAAAAGATAGTTATGATTATACATGAAGTCGAAATTAAAACCCCAAAGTCGAAATGTTTCAACTTGAGGAAACTACATAGTAAAAATCAGTTTCGACCTTATTTTGACCCTATTTTGACCAGATCTGCAAATGGTCGAAATAGTTTCGACTTCATGTATAGTTATGATCACATATCTCATTTCTACAAGAAATGGCTCTAGCTATAGAGCTTTGCCTTCATTATCATTATCTCAATCTGGCATTACCTTAATGCAAATGGGTAGTAAATATTGCATAAATTTCTAAATAAAGTTATTATCATTCTTGTTTTCTATAGTTTATTGAATAAGAAACAATGCCTATCCATAGATTTTATATCAGGACATTTGAATAGTAATATTAACTGAATTCAGAGGACTATTTAAAGGTTTATCTCAGATTTTTATAGAAGACACAAAGCAAAGGGATGGTATGTGTTTACAGCTTGATGTATTCTTCTTTTTGGGAAATGTCATAACAAATGATTTACAACAACATGAGGATTGATGATGCGTGTGTTATTTCTTACAAACTAGCAAGTGATGTTTTGACAAGTTGAAAACAAATTTGTCATCGAAAGTTGTGATTGATCAGAAATATCTGACCTCCTTGTTTGATTATTCCTATAAAGAAAATAAAGAACAGTTGTAAATTTATACAGCATTAATTCCTATAGTTGACTCCGTAAATAAAAATAAAAATAAAATAAAAATTTGTAATAGTAATAGTAATTTGTAATTATAATAGTAGTGGAAATAATAATTCTCATAAAAATGATTCCATATTGTATTTTTTGGTGTTTGTTTTCCAGTTTGTCAGGTACAGCCTGAATACAATTATTTTCATTTGCTCCAACCATTTTAGAATCAATTTCAAAACAGATAAAAATCCAATCATTGGCTATTGAAATCTACCAATTAAAATAAAATCAAGCCAAAACCATGTGGGACTGTCTACAGCAAAAACCACCTCCGAGGTAAATAACTCATTTTGTGTAAAAATTCATTTAAATAAAAACTTTTTGCTTTAAGCTGAATAAATTTCATAAATCAAATAAAA